CAACAACAACAACAACAACAACAACAACAACAACAACAACAACAACACAAACAACAACAACAACAACAACAACAACAACAACAACAACAACAACAACAACAACAATCACTTTACCCGAACGCTCAGTGTTCTCACCAGTGCCAGGGTTTTCATGCGACGCAGCCAATACCCCCACTTTGTGGGGGGGCAGTGCAAGCTCTACCAAATATCCACACGACTCTTCGCCACCACCCACACCCAGCTTCCCGCCCTATGACGTTCGGACACTTCACTTCGTGGCCTGCGGACGACCGTGGCTACTACACTGGCGCATGGTACAGTGACTTGTTGTGGTAACATTTTCTGGACGCTAGCTTAGTATACGACTTTTCCCCCTGTTCCAACACTGGACACCTGTACTGGTTTTTGGTGGTAACGTGTTCCTGACGCTAGAATAGGAAACCACGGTAAACCAGTACGACGCCAGTACGACGCCGGTACGAATAGGAGGACCTACGGTGCGATTCCTATGATTTTATGTTGCGCGGTGCTAAAATTCCTAAGAAACCCAATGGTTTTTGAAGATTTCGGCGTGCGCGCGCGAAGAAAAAACGAATGTGTCCCGCATGGTATTATTTGACAGGGATGATGGCCCTGGCAGGTGCGCAACCGTTGTCGCAGAAGTTCGAAAAAGTTGCTCGCAAAAGCCCGTTTGACAGAAATGTTTGAAAAGTGTTGGTTTTCCTACGAATCCGCAAGAGCGCGCGGGATGAGATTTTGACATTTTTTTGTTGAAAAAACCATAGTTTTTTTGATGTTTTTATGTTAAAATCGCTCCGAACACTAAGCTTTTGGAAGGATTTCGTCTTGCGCGCGCGAATGTCCACTTTACCTTATTTTTTGCAAGGGATTCTTGAAATTTGATTGTATTAGAACAAGAAATGTCATTTTATAGTGTTTTTTGCAAGGGAAAACGGATTACAACAAAACAACCGGATCTTGATGACATCGTATTACCTGAGGCTTCCTCACGAAAATGATGAAAAAGTAGCTGCGGCCTAGGCGGCGCAGGGGGGCCGTGCACCAGGGGCCCCAACAATAATTATTCTTTAGAATTAATAATGTTCAACAACAACAACAACAACACTATTCCCAACAACCTCTCACCCCCGTCTGCCCCTCCGCCGCCGGGACCCGATGTCGCTAAAGCAACGCGGAGAAGCAAACGGCTGGAACTCCCGATCCCGACCTCTTTCTGCGGCATCTCTCGGGAGGGATCAGTCCGTGAGGGTCCCAGCCGCGGAACGGGCAGGTGCGATTTTGGCTCGCGAGTCTTGCCTCCAGCTGGCTTGTTGGCCACGGCTCGGGCCCCAAGCCCGTTCGGGACGACCACACGCTCCCGGGAGGCCCCTTGACGAGGCGCAGCCGGTGGGGAACGCCCCGAGGCCCAAACCTTCCAAGGCACCACCGAACACCTTCCAAGGGACGACGAGGACGACGACGTCGACGACGTCGGCGACGCGCCGCGGAGTCCTCGGCCCTGTCGGCGTGGGGCCCGAGCGCGGGCGCATTCGTCGTCGACAAGCTCATGGCCCTCCTGGCCCCCCGCCGCGGCCCGCTCTCCGCCTGCAGGGGCTGGGGGGCCACCCGGGCGGGGAGCCAGAGGGCGAAGGAGCAGGGAACGGGAGGAATCGGGCACTCGATTGCACGGAGGGGGAGGCGGCGGCGGAGGAGGAGGAGGAGGAGGAGGAGGAGGAGGAGGAGGAGAAGGAGAAGGAAGGGGAGGAGGAGGACGCAGGAGAAGAGGCAGGAGGAGGAGGAGGGAGGAGGAGGAGAGGGAAGGGGAGGAGGAGGAGGAGGAGGAGGAGGAGAGGAGGAGGAGGAGGAGGCCGGTCCCACCTCCCTCCTCCATCCTCCCCTGACTGCGTTGCCATCCTTCTCCCTGGGAGGCGGGATGGGGGAGGGAAGGACCCGAAGAGGTGACTCGGTGCAGTCGCCCCACCCCGAAGGTGGAACAGGTGCGGTGGTGGCAGTGGTGTCCCAGGCTGTGGTGGCAGCGCCTGGAGGCGAGGGCACCAGCCGCTCCTGGAAGCGGGCCCTGCTGCTGATGTATGGAGGGAGGAAGAGCGCCATAGACATACAAACTCGGAGCTCCGCGCGGATCTCTCGGCCTGGCGCTGGACCCCCGGGCGCGCGGGCGCGCTGGAGCTCAGACACGCGCGCTGGAGCCTTCCCCGATCCCCGGAGGCGTCGGTGCTCTCGGCGTCGGAGGAGGGCGGGGCCCGCCGCCGGCTCTCCCGGTGCGCAGTGGTGCTCGACCTCGGCGGTCACAGACCGGCTCGGCTGACATCCACGCGAGGCGTGCGGGAGAGGGGGATCAGGTGATGCACAGTGGCAAGGCTGAGGTTATTCCTCATGGTGCTGGCGTCGCGCTGCGAGTGCTGCTGGATCGAGCGCTCTCCATCGTGCGCGCCAGCTTCTTCTCCACGGATGGCGGGTGTTGGTTCTGGGGGAGTCTGCGAGGGTGTCTGGCGATGTTGGTCACGAGGACGATTTGCCGATAGAAGGCACTCAAGCGAGCCTCCACGGAGCCCTTTACAAGGCAGCCGCCGTGCCACCACGACAGTGGCACGTGCACGTGAAGTTGGACCTTGACACGAGCGGGTGCATCTGACGAGCCATGGCTCTTGGGGCAACGTTCAACAATTCCTCTGGTTGTCCGTCGGGCAACCTTTTCCCTGAGACCGGTTGTTCCTCCTGGGTCCTCTTTTGACGGTCCCGGGGCCCGGCGAGGGCCCCCCGAGACCAAAAATGGTCAGACACCTCCCGTCCTGATCTTTTTGCGACGCGATCATGTTTGGGTTTTTGAGTTTTGCCCCCGGCCCTCCTCGAGGATCGAGGAGGGATTGCGGACGTCTTCGGACGGTTCTTTGACGCGTTCAGCCCTTTCCGGGCCCCCGGTCGGACCTCCAAGGACCTCCGGAGATCAGGCTCCAGGGATGGGAAAACAAATACTGGCGGGATCCTTCCTGTCTCTTCATCCTCCTCATGCTCTTCCTCCTCCTCCTTCTCGTCCTCCTCCTCCTCCTCTTCCTCCTCCTCCTCCTCCTCTTCCTCCTCCTCCTCCTCCTCCTCCTCCTCCTCCTCCTCCTCCTCCTCCCCTCCTTCCCTCCCCTCCTTCCCTCCTCCACCTCCTTTCTCCTCCTCCTTCTCCTACATCCTCCTTCTTCCACTCCTCTCCCCCCTCCTCCTCCTCCCCCTCGTCCTCCTCGGGGTTTTTTTTTTTTTCCTTTTTTTTTTTGTTCTAATCCTGTCTATATCATACTTCTCCTCCTCCTCCTCATCCTCCTCTCCTCCTTCTCGTTCCTCCTCCTCCTCCTATCTTCCTCCTCCTCCTCTCCTCTTCTTCCTCCCTCTCCTACTCCTCCTCCTCAATCCTCCTGCATCCTCCTCCCCCCTCCTCCTCCCTCCACCTCCTCATCCTCCTTCTCCCTCCTCATCCTCGTTCCTCCTCCTCTCCCCACTCCTCCTCCTCCCCCCCTCCTCTCTCGTTCCTTCTCCTCCTTCCCTCCAGTAATTCTCCTCCTCCTCTCCTCCTCCTCCACGTTCATCCTCGTACCTCCCTCCCTTCCTCTCCCACTATCCTTCTCCTGCTCTTCCACATCCTCCTCCTCCTCCCATCCTGCTGGGGTTTTTGGATGGGAGACAGGTCTGCCTTTTTAGGCTCTGTCCTTATGGGGTAGTTACTGTTGCGACTGTGCCATGCTTATTACGCGTACGTTTCCGCCACTGGTGACAGGTAAATGGTTACGGAGTGCACGCGCGCGAAGCCCCTCGGCGAACAACAAAAGAACTTCCTCCTCCTCCTCCTCCTCCTCCACCTCCTCCTCCTCCTCCTCCTCCTCCTCCTCCTCCTCCTCCTCCTCCCCCTCCGACCACGACCACGACGACGACGACGACGACGACGACGACAGGGGCACGCCGATGATGACGGCGAGGACGACAGCGACGCCCGCGGCCTCCGCAGGCTGCTGCGCGGCCGCCCAGGGCGGCCCGGACCTCCCCCGAAGAGCCCTCCGTTCCGCTCTCGTCGTAGCGCGTCGCCGTCCTCGCCGCCACCGTCGTCGTGGTCGTCGTCGCTGCCGAGGCGGCCAACACCAACCTCTTGCCCCGCGTTGTTCCCATGTCGTTCTCCGTGCTGCCCCCCCCCTCCTTACTCACCGCGGCCTCGGCCGCATGCGTCGCGCAGCGAGGTGGTGCTGCGCTACACCGTCCCATCCATCATCCTGCCCCTCATCTGTCCCTTTTCATTATAGTTCTCGTCCTCCTTGTTCTCCACCTATAAATGTGATTAACGATGACTGTGGCCAGTCCCGAAGGAAACCAAGCCAACAAGAAAAAACGGAGAATGAAGATGCACATCAGCTCCAGTCCTTGCCAGAAGGTGGCGGGATGAAGGCCGCCGCGCGGCAGAGGCCGCTCTCTTGGAGGACATGTGGTCAGCGAGCAAGCCTTGTTCTCCTCCATCTCCCTCCCTCGTCATGCTCCTCCACTATCTTTGAGGGTTTTTTGTGACAGCCTCCTCGGGCGCGGGAGGCCCTCGTGCTCGCCCTCCCCCCCCCCTCTCCTCCTCCTCCGCCTCCGCCTCCGCCTCGTCCTCCTCCGCGTCCTCCTCCTCCGCCTGCTCCTCCTCCTCCTGCTCCTCCGCCTCTTCCTCCTCCTCCTCCTCCTGCCTCCTCTCCTCCTCCTCTTCCTCCTCTCCTTCCCCTCCCTCCTCCTCTCTCCTCCTCCTCCTCCTCTTACCTCCTCCTCCTCCTCCTCCTCCTCCTCCTCCTCCTCCTCCCCCTCCTCCTCCTCCCCCTTCACCGCATCCTCTTCCTCCTTCTCCTCCTCCTCCTCCTCCTCCTCCTCCTCCTCCTCCTCCTCCTCCTCCCCCTCCTCCTCTTCCTCCTCCTCCTGGAGGGGCGGAGGGGATGGACAGGACCGAGGAGGAAGGCGGGGAGCGAAATTCGAAAGCGACGAAATCTGTCGGAGTTTTGGGGAGGAGTGAGACGTGGATTGGCCCAATAGGGAGACCGTTTCGTTCCAGGCGTGTCGCACGTGCGGGCAAGGCGAGGCGAAGCTGTGCGATTTCCTGGCCTAGTGGAGGTCAAGTCCTGGCCGTGGTTCCCGGTGGCGCCCGGGTTGTCCCGATGGTTGTCCCGATGATTGTCCTGATGGTGGTCCCGATGGTGGTCCCGATGGTTATCCCGATGATTGTCCTGATGGTGGTCCCGATGGTGGTCCCGAGGGTGGTCCAAATGGTTGTCCTGATGCTTGTCCTGATAGTTGTCCGGGTTGTTGTCCCGATTGTTGTCCCGATCCGACGGTTGCCCCGATCGCTGCCCCGATTGTTGACCCGATGGTCGTCCCGCTGGATATCCTGATGTCTGTCCTGATTGTCGACTCGACGGTTGTCCCGATGGTTGTCCCGATGGTTGTCACCATGGTTGTCACGATTGCTGACCTGATTGTTCTTGACGCTTGTCTCGATGGTCGCCCCACCAGCGACAACGTCGACGACGCCGAAGGCGGCGGTCCGTGCAGGGCCGAACCCTGATATGAAGCACCCCGAGAAGCACACCTCCGCGAGGGATCGAGCAGAACAAGACTGCCGGGCAAACGCCCAGGGCTGTCCGGAACACTCCTGCGGCGGGGCCTGGAGCGGCTTTCCTGCCCCCTGTTCCTACATCGCCCTCCTCGATCCTCGATCGTCGATCCTCCATCCCGATCCTGGATCCCCGATCAACGATCCTCGGCCCCTCCTTGCCTGACAGGGAGCCCATCAATGACGTGCGCGTCCAGCCACGCACATGGATACGGCCCCCCAGTCCGCAAGGCCGGCCTCGTGTTACGAGCGCTCGTGCGCCGCTTATACTCGAGATCCACCAAAAAACATTCCTGCACGCTTGCGTCTTGTTGCCACTCCTCGACTCAGAGCCGCGACATCTTTACACATCCACAGCTCCCTGGCCAGGCCCATCCTGAACCCAGGGCGCGGTGCATACGCCACGCCCTGCTGGCTTGGCCTGGAGGGCGTATGCACCGCCCCCTGGGTTCAGGATGGGCCTGGCCAGGGAGCTGTGGATGTGTAAAGATGTCGCCGCTCTAAGTCGAGGACTGGCAACATAACGCAAGCGTGCAGGAATGGTTTTTTGTGGATCTCGAGAATATACGGCGCACGAGCACTCGTAACACGAGGCCTGGCCAGGGATCAGTAGACGTGTACAGATTTCGCCGCCCGCGGCTGAGCCCCCTCCCCGACACGCGGCGCAGGCTCATCAGCTCGCTGTCGGGCAGCTCGCTGACCCTGTACCAGCGCCTCGCCGCCTTGTCGCCGCCTCGCGCGCGGCGTCGCCCGGGCGGCCGCCGCCGCCCCCCACCCAATGCTGCCTTCCACATGCCTGCCCGACATGTTGGCGGGATGCAAATGGGGGGATAAGTCCAGGGGGGGAGAGAGGCGCAACCGAGGTACAAATTGTACCTACGCCCCACGGAGAAGGTACAATTTGTACCGACGCCACGCAGACAAGGTACACATTGTACTTGTGACAACGTCCGCGACATGTGCGAGGATGTTAACGGGGGGAGAACGAGAGAAAACCATGCGGCGTTTAAATGGGCTGAATTGTTTAAGCATGTCGGTGAAATGCGCGCAACGTCGAGCACATGTATTTTACACGTGTTCATTATTTTGTCTACGGGTGCGAGTTGCACTCGCTGTCATAACGCATTTGCTGATACATTCGTGCTCAGACATGCTTGTTCAAGTTGCGTAGCGTGCGTTTGAACACATCAGTGAAATCCGCCGACCCTGCGGCGTGTGTGAGACGCCGTCGTCGTCTTCGCCGTCGTTATCATCATCGTCGTCGCCGTCATCGTCGGCGTCGCCCACGACAGCCCCAAGGAAATTTAGAAACGAACAGAGACAATAAACGTCGTAGTTAAAAGGGTTCCCCCTCCTTCTTCCCCTAATGGAGCCTGACGGGGGAAGGGTAGGGGGGGTCAAGACACCCTCCTAGATAGCCCACCCAACACATAAATATCACCCGAGCCTGAGCATGCTCAGCGGTCGTCTTTGGATGGGCAGCTACTGGGAACCAAAGCCGACCCCACGTGCGCAACGCTGGGGCGAGATGCGCCACGCGTGCCAGGCGCGCCACGCGCGGCAGGCACCCCTGGGGCCCCAGCGTGCCAAGCACGCCTGGTGCGCCAGATGCGCCACGTGCTCCGCGTGCACCAGGCGTGCCGCATACTCCAGCCGCGCCTGGTGCGCCACGCTCGGGGCACGTGCAGAGTGTGTCGGGTGCGCCCGCGCACGTGACAGCACACATCGATCAACACGTTGGCCCCCACCATCCTTGTCGAAAGCCAATGCCCATCCTTGTGTCTGGTGGGCCTGCGCACAACGGGCCATGTGCCACCACCCCCGCCGACCCTTTCAAAAACCACTTGGCAGTGATCGCGGGGTGGCCGCGCACGATCCAGATTTAGCCTTGATATGCATTATGATATTTTTCGTCGGGGATGGTAGCTCTGCGCGCAGCGGGCAATATGCTGATCCCCCCGCCGGCCATGTCAAAAACAATACAAAGCGCTCGCGGGCCTCACGAGCATGACTCAAGACTTTGCCCCAAAGTGTATTGTGTATTGCGTTTTGACAAGGGTGGTGGGGTGGAGTGGGGGGGGCGCATCGGATTGGCCGCGCATGCTCCAACTATGGAGGCAGGGTGCGTTTTGCATTGTTTTGACAAGGATGGTGGGGGAGGGGTGAGCATGGTGTCCTCATTGTTCCTGGTAGGTCGCCGGTCGCCTGAGGGAGGGGGTGCAGAACTACTAACGGGGAATAATGGTAAAGGGGGGTCCAGGGGTCCCGGCAGCCATCCCTGCCCTGCTCAGTCCCCCCTGTTGCGGGGAGGGGGGTCCTGGAAGTGGGTCCTGGGGGAGGTCCCGCCTGTGGTGGGGGAGGGAGGTCCAGGGTCAGAGCGCCGCTCCCCCAGGGTCCAAGCGGGTCCAGAGGCAGGGGAGCCAGCGGGAGTCCCAAGGTCGGCGGCGCCGGCTGCAAGGTCTTCACAATGTACTGCTTCCGAGTGCCATGCTTAAATCGGGCGTGTCCCCCTACAGGGGATTTTGGGCGAAACATGAAAAGATACTCCCAAAATGCCCCCCAAACGGGCAAACATAGTCCAAACAAACCGTCCCCAAACTATGTTTTCTCCTGTTTTTGAATACTCCCCCTGTTGGGGGACAGGCCCGACTTACTACCATGCGGCGGCTGGCCGTGGGCGCGCCCTCGGCGGGCGCGTCCCTCGCGGAGCGCGGCCCGCGGAGCACGGCGCGCCCATCGTAAGGCGGCCCGCGGCGCCGCGCCGGCGGCGGACGGAAGGGGCCGACGCGCGGCGGGCCAGGGCGCCCGGGCGGCCGAGACCGTGCACGCGCCAGGATCAGAGAGAGGCGCCGGGGCCGGGCGGCGGCGGCCGGACGCCGACGCGGCGGGCGCTTCTTCTCCGGGGGATCTGGATTGCGCTCTGATCCGCCGAGGAGACGGTCAGCTTAGTGCGGCACTCACGAGCTGCTGGCAGAAACACGCGGTATCTAGCAGCACGGGCGACAAGGTGTAAATGCTCCACCCGACCATATGCCCATACCTTAATGTCCCCACATGCCCCCGGATTGGACGGAACTGCACGGGGTTGGCACGACTAATGGCCAGCTCGACGTAGCTCGCATTCTGCACCGGAGGGGAAGGATATGGGGGCAAGACCGAGGGGGAGGAGGCGGCCCGTCGCCGGCCTCCTGCGGCGGGGGGCCGCGCAGAGGGGGTAGGGGGGGGGGGAGGCGCCTTGGAAGGAGGCGGCCTCTCGGGAGGCGCGGGCCTCACAGCCACAGACGAGGCCCGCGCCTTCTGAGAGGCAGCGAGAAGCCGTGCCCCCTCCCCCATACCCCCTGTGCGTGTGGCCGAGTCCTGGCGGCGCAGCCAGCGGCGGGGCCAGGGGCGGAGCCTGGCGGCCTCCTGGATGGGGTCCGAGTAGATAGGGGTCGGAGGATCTCGCCGCATCGCCGATACATCGGCAATGCCTCGGCGATACATCGGCCATGCGCTGGCGACGTCGGCGATGCGTCGGCGACGTCGGCGTGGATAAAGTCGTGCGCCGATGCATCCGCGATGCGGCGCGATCCTCCGACCCCACCTACTCTGACCCCACGCAGGAGGCCTAGAATCAGAGACCCTGGCGCTGCGGGACTCCGTCCGGGATTTCGGCACCCCTGGAGGGTGGGCAGTTGCGCGCGCCGTCGTTCAGTCGCCCAACGTTCCTGAGCGTCGCTCAACCGACCCCCATCCCCACCAGCGTGGGCTGGGCCTCACTGGCCGATCTACCCGCCTGGATGGGGATCTGGGCTGCTCTCTTAGAGGGTTTCGACAGGGCAGATCCCTAACTGAGGTGGGGTCATCAAAATATTTTTAGAACTTAGCAGAGTACGGACAGTTGTTCGAACCCAGCTCTGGTAGCAGACCGAGTTTGGGCATCTAGATACTCGAGACTAGCGCTTCGGATGATTTCCTTTTCGACTGCTGTGCCAAAACAACACTGTAGCTCATCTGCAGCTCGAGCTGCATCCAGAAACTCACCATCAGCTCTAAACAAGTAGCAGGAGACGGTGGGGCTCGAGATGTGGACGGGGATGGAGACGGGGATCGCTTGTACGGTACCGAGCGTGGGCTGGGCCTCACTGGCCGATTGACCCACCTGGATGGGGACCTGGGCTCCTCTCTTAGAGGGCTTCGAGGGGCATAACCCCAACTGAGGTGGGGAGACGGTGGGGCTCGAGATGTGGACGGGGATGGAGGCGGGGATCGCTTGCACGATAGCGAGATCCCACGCGCGACGGGCTCTCGCCGGCGTCGGCCGCCCAGCGCACGAGGCGCCGACGGGGCGCCAACGACACGGGCCCCGCCGGACTGCAGAGGCGAAGCCTCGACAGAGCAGCCCGGCGCCAGGGGCGTCCACGACACCCACGACGGGGCACCAGCCAGGAGCCAGACCCCGACGTCATGTGTTTTTCCCAGCCATCCTGTGGTGCTGGGTCCTCGTTTTGAGGAGACGGTCCCCGCGCTCCTCCTTCCCGCCCTCCTCCCGCCCTCCTCCCCCCTCACCACCTCACATTTTGGCCCACCCCTCACACGGTTCGTGGCCCCATAGGGAGCTCCACCGAAGGCCCCAGTAGCAAAGTTCGCATGCAGTTCCACCCCCATTTCTGCGCACCCCTCACACGGTCGTGGAACCATAGGGAGCTCCACCGAAGGCCCCAGTAGCAAAGTTCGCATGCGGTTCCACCGCCATTTTGATACACCCCTCATACAGTTCGTGGCCCCATATGGAGCTCTATAGCAGGCCTGAGTGGCAAAGTTCGCATGCAGTTCCACGCCCGTTTCGGCGCACCCCTCACACGGTTCGTGGCCCCATGGGGAGTTCCACCGAGGGCCCCAGTGGCAAAGTTCGCATGCAGTTCCACGCCCGTTTCGGCGCACCCCTCACACGGTTCGTGGCTCCATAGGGACCTCCACCGAAAGCCCCAGTGGCAAAGTTCGTATGCAGTTCCACTCCCATTTCGGCGCACCCCTCACACGGTTCGTGGCCCCACAGGTAGCTCTGCTGCAGGCCTCAATGGCAAAGTTCGCATGCAGTTCCACTCCCACTGCGGCGCACCTCTCACACAGTTTTTGGCCCCATATGGAGGTCCACCGAGGGCCCCAATGGCAAAGTTCGCATGCAGTTCCACCCCCAGTTCGGCACCCCTCTCACACGGTTCGTGGCCCCATAGGGAGATCCACCTAAGCTCAAACGGTTCGTGGCCCGCTCCACCGAAGGCCCCACTGGCAAAGTTCGCATGCAGTTCCACCCCCATTTCGGCGCCCCCCACACGGTTCGTGGCCCCATAGGGAGCTTCACCCAAGGCCCCAAGGCAAAGTTCGCATGCAGTTCCACCCCCATTTCGGCGCACCCCTCACACGGTCGTGGCCCCGTGGGGAGTTCCTCCGAGGGCCCGAGTGGTAAAGTTCGCATGCAGTTCCGCGCCCGTTTCGATGCACCCCTCACACGGTTCGTGGCCCCATAGGGAGCTCCGCCGAAGGCACCCGTGGCAAAGTTCGCATGCAGTTCCACCCCCATTTCGGCGCACCCCTCACAAGGTTCGTGGCCCCATAGGGAGCTCCACCGAGGACGGTTTCACCATTGCGTTACTCACAACTGCATATGGTTGGGCCCTTCGCCAAGATAATGTTCATGACGCAACCCCCAGATCGGGGATCTGCTAACCCGGGTCAACCAGACCCAGGTCAGCAGGAAACCAAAAAGCTGCAATGCAGGAACAAAAAACTGCAACGCAGGGCTGCGCAAACTCAGGTCAGCCAATATGCGCGGCCGCCTCGTGGCCACAAGCGGCTCGCTAACCTAGGTCAGCCAGAGGAGGACTTCGAAAGATCCTGATCCAGGATCCGGTGCCCTGGCTGACCCCCGTTTGCATTGACCCCCGTCTCTTGAGCCCCCACCAACGGTCTGGAGCCATTCTGGAACCGGGACCGGCTTTCCATCCCGAGTCGTTGTCTGACGGCCCCGCGAGGCCCGAAGAAGGGCCCTCGGAGGCCGACCACGGCGAAAAACCTCCCGCCGTGATTTTTGCTCACGTCGCGAGGGGGGTCTGGTGGGGATGAGGATCTATTTTCTGGAGGTCCGCAAGGACTGAGCTTTTTCTTCGGGTGGAGGGCACAGGGTGAAATCCAAATGAGCTTCTGCACCTCGAGAATCAATCCGTCTTGTGAGTCACCTTTTGAAGATCCAAGCCTCGAACATCCATCGAAACGGCAGTTCAAATGTCGCCCTTTACCCTCCCCCCAAAGAACATGCTCGAAACGATTTCGTGGATCGCCGCCCGGCCCCCTCACTTGCCTGGCGCGCGGAGCGCGCCACGGCGCAAGCGGCGCCGCCGGGGGGAGGGCCGCCGCCGACCAAAGGAATCCGCGCGGATAGCGTCAGGTCGGGCGTGTCCCCCTACAGGTGGATTTTGGACGAAAAATGAAAAATAGTTTAAAACAACATCAAACATATTCAACAATGATTTAAACAAATCGAACCCAGACTATCTATCTTCTGATCCTTTTGAAGATTCCTCCTGTAGAGGGAAACGCCCGACTTAAGGATAGTGGTTTTGGCACCTCTTCCAGGGTGGCAGGGAAGACGAGGGAGCACACTCGGACATGAGCGGACAAGACACACACACACACAGGAGGACAGAAGACCCTTCCGAGGGTCACACTGCCAGAGGACTGTATGAGGCATGGGTCGCGAGGCACAGGACTCAAGTCCTGTAACAAAAAGCTGTTTGCCGTCGGCTGCGAGGCAGAGGCACAACAAACACGTAAACACTATATTTTGGAGGTCCACGCGGGTTTCTTGGATCCGCGCCGGACCCCCCCCCGCTGGCGCGCGGAGCGCGCCAAAGGCGGCGCCGGAGGCGCCACCAGGGCGCCTCAGCGCAGATCCAAGAAACCCGCGCGGAGCGCCAACATCTGATGTTTTAGGCGTTTCTTTCTTCTTCGATCAAGGGTACCCTTGATTTGGCGCCCCACGAGCCCGATGACCCCTACGAGCCCTAGCCATGAGCCCCATGAGCCCTCTATGGGCCCGACGAGCCCTGTGAGCCCTGTGAGCCCTGTGAGCCCTGAGCCCTGTGAGCCCCGAGCCCTGTGAGCGCCCTGAGCCCTGTGAGCCCTGGAGAGCCCTGGAGAGCCCTGGAGAGCCCTGGAAGAGCCCCCACGAGCCATGCGAGCCCTACGAGGCCCGCGAGCGCCGAGGCCCGGACACCGCGGGCGGCGAGCGAGGGGCGCCGGCGCCGGCGCGCCTGGGGCCCCACCGCCGCGCCGGGCCGCGGGCGGGGAGCGCGGGCGGAGGAGCGCCAGGCCGGACCTGCGGGGCGCCCCCGGTGGCCATGCTGCCTCGTCGCGGTCGTCGTCGCCTTCGTCGCCGCCGGCGTCGCCGTCGGCGTCGCCGGCGCGGGGGAGAGGGACGAGCGGCGAGGTGCGAGCTGCCCACGTCGCAGCCGAAGGGCCTGGCAAGGAGAGGAGGCTCCCCTCGAGGGAGGGAGCAGGAACGGCCCGGAGCCTGATTCGCGGGGGGGCGGAGGAGAACGGAGGACGAAGGTACGTCAGGTTCGTGTCGTGCCGACTTCGGCGTTGGTTTCTGACACCGCGGGGATCGTTCCATCTTGAACGATCGGCCGCTTCCGAAGCGTCCAAGCCGTTCCTCATCGAACGATTCTGGGTCGCCCGCGGCGTTCAAAGTTGGACGCCGCTGGCGGGGTCGCCGCCGGTCGACACGACACCAACCTACCATACCTCGTCGTGGTCGTCGTCTCCGTCGTTGCAGTCGGCTTCGCCGTCGCCGTCGCCCGTCGCCGCCGCCACCAACGTCATCGTCGCAGTCGACGTCGTCGGCGTCGTCGTCCTCCTCCTCCTCTCTCTCAACCCCCGCGTCCTCCTGAGAGGCACCCGCTACACAGATCTCGGGTGATCGACGGCCATCTTGAGTGCGCGCAACGGTGCACCGACGTTGCGTGCAAGGAGGAGAAGGAGGAGGGGGATGAGGTCGAGGGACCGGAACACAAGCGAGGGACTCAAAAAATGGCAGTTGGGTCCGGAAGCTCCGAGAAATAATCAGAGCTGGCTGCAAGCGGAAGGCCCACCTGCTGTGGTCGACAGATCCCCTCGGGAGTGCCGTCCAGAATTCTCGGCATGCCCGAGCACGAAGCCAGGGAGGACGCTTTCGAGCGCGTGACGGCCTGTGCGCCCTCGCCCATGCTCGACAACAAAAAAAGCGCAGGCCCACCACAACTCTCAGACTTGCCGTCGCTCAGACGCCCGCTTCCCGAGCATTTGCTTGGTTTTGTGCGCGCATGATGCTCCAAGATGCTCCTCAATGGTCCTCGTCGAGAAAACCAGGCACACGTCCGAGCGATGCCAGACAGCATCAGCAGAATCGTCGCCCGCCACGAGACGAGGCCCGCGGTTGGCGCCGAGCGAGGCCCAGCCACGGGGAGGGGCCGCTGCCCCGATCGCCCGCGAGGCCACCTCTGCCATGCGAACAGGACGCCCCGCGGCAGAGGCGAGAGGAGGAGGAGGAGGAGGAGGAGGAGCAGCAGGAGGAAAGGAAGTAACTTGAGGCGAACTCGTCCGTCCTAGCTCGGCGCAGCGCGGCTAGAACGGTGGTTCACCGTCACACGGGGATGGACGCTCGGCCGCTCTGGCATCACCAATGCTGCAATAAGCATGGGGCCACACACGGGGAGCGGAAAGTAGGTCTTGCGGGACATTCGGGAAAGCAGGAAAAACGGGGATGTAAGGCAAGGGCGAAGGGAGGAGTGGAGGGGGCCTGTCGGGGGGCACGAGGCGGGCCGCGACGGCGGGGCTACATTCACGGGAAGCCTCCCCGAGGCTCCTCAGCTTCTTCGCGCTCACGTCGAAGCGGGGCGGGGAGAGGGCGGCCTGACGGGGTCATTCGCCACCAGCGGCGGCGGCAGGAAGAGCTTGTTCGTGGGGTACAGCGTCAGCCACTCCAGGCGGCGGGACGGCACGAACAACATCATGCAGGCCTTCTTCGGGATCCACCAGATGATCTGCCAGACCAGCAAGAGCCGTGCTGCAGCGGAGTTGAAGAAGGTCGGATCGACGAAGGTACGCGACACCAGGAACAGCCAAGTCATGTTGATCGTCTGCGGGAGGAACGCGGCGAGCGTCGGTAGCCACACCAGGCGGCAGGACAGCACGAGCATCATCATGAAGAGCATCCTCAGGCGGCGGGACGGCACGAGCACCATCATGCAGAGCTTTTTCGGGATGGACGGGACGAGTCACGGCCACTCCAGGCGGCGGGACATATTGTAGTGCTTCTTCGGGTTGGTCGGGACGTGCAGCGCAGTCTACACCAGGCGGCAGCATAGCTACTTCGGCTTCACCAACCTGGTCGCCGCCGGCGGCGGCATCGGCAAGCTGGTCGGTCTCCGTGGGCTGGTCGGTCTCCGTGTCAGTCTCCGTGGACAGGGCGGTCCCGAACACGAAGTCCTGCCACGGGTCGAAGCAGCAGTAGAACAGCCTGTCCGAGAGGAGGATCGCAGGAGGAGGAGGCGGAGAAGGAGGAGGATGAGGAGGAGGAGGAGAGCAGGAGGAGGAGGAGGAGGAGGAGGAGGCGGAGGAGGAGGAGGAGGAGGAGGAGGAGGAGGGAGGAGGAGGAGAACGAGAAGGAGGAGGAGGAGGAGGAGGAGGAGGAGGAGGAGGAGGAGGTGCACCGACTTCACAAATCTAACGCGCTTCTGATGAACGGCACGACCTGCGAGGCCACACCGCGGCGCAGCCCGTGGGAGGTCCCGGCCCTCAATCCGGGGGCCCGGGACGCAGGCGGAGCCGACGCGCGTCGTGCGCACCCTGCTGCGCGCCTGGGGCAGGCGAGTTCGGCATCGCATCGACAAGTCTTGGCGGCGTGCACAAGGGGGTTAGGGGGAGGGGTGAGGGCTTCTTAGAAGCCGGCTGCTATTTAGAAGGCGCCGGCCTTACATCTATAGATAACGCCCGCGCCTTCGAAGAAGCAGGGGTGCTTCTAAGAAGCCCTCCCCCCTCCCCCCATCCCCCTCTGCGCGTGGCTGAAAGTCGGGTCGGCAATCGAAACACAGCGGATCCCAGAACATCGGCAGCCGAGTCGGGGAAAGAGCCGACTCGGCGGGAACCGGCAGGCGAGTGATCAGGCCTCCAGGAGGAGATCGGGGCCCAAGTCGGAGTCCGAAGTCGAATCGAATCGGAATCGGAAGCCATCGAAGTCGAATCGAATCGAATCGAAATCGAGTCGAATCGAAGTCGAATCGAAGCGGAGGAATCGAAGCGAGCCCCCTGCTGGGTGGGGGGGGTCCAGGACAGTCGGCGGCCGCGTGCCGCAACACCTGCTGCTGGGCAAGGCAAGTCTCGGACGCGACGCCGCGGCCCGCGCGGGCCGTCAGGGGGAGAGGGTCTGCAGAATCGAGGACGGCGAGAAGGTCTGGTCCAAGAAGGGTGACTTCGACGGCTGCTGGGGCGCCTCAAGTCGTGCTGGAGTGTCTGAGGTCGGGTGGGGAGGACCTCGAGTCCAGCGAAACCGACCAACCTGGTCCAACGAACCTTTCTGGAAGCCTCCGACAGACGAGCGCGTTCCACGAATGACTCGCTGCGTAACTGCTCGCACATGGCCTGGGGATGCGGCACGGGGACTTTACGATGCACTGCACCGGTGCAGACATGCGTGTCGCAGGCGCTCTGCGAGTGGTGGAACGCGCCTGGTGAGGCTGGGCCGGCCAGGGTGGCTCGGCTTCCGCTCGCGGCCCTCGGTGCCCCTGCCTGCTGCCCCGCCTCGCAGCTGCGTCCCCCCTCGTGCGCGCGTGGTCCCTGCGTGCCTCCGCGAGGCCGACCCTTCCTCCTGGGCTGCGCTGCCGAACGCCAAGCCAACGAACGACTCTGCCGCCCCCCCCACCCAGCTATTCCTCCTCGTCTGCCTCCCCCCCTCCCCGCCCCCCCCGCCGAGTCCCCTCCCTCTCGGGCAGACGTAAGACTTCAGCTTGGGGGGACCCGAACTTGCCCGATGGAGTCGTCAGAAAGATGGCAGGGACCTAATTACCGCGATGTTCGGCGCACGCCCCCGCTGAATACACCTCACGAAGACTGGGCCGTGGGAGCTCACAGCGGGACAATCCAAGAGCGGTGGTAAACCCTAAATCCGGCAGACTCTTTCCCCCCGCACTTCACGAAGACGGGGCCGTCCAGACTCACGGCGGGACAATCCAAGAGCGGCGGCAAGCCCGAAATCCGGCAAACTCGAACCTGGCGTGTCCCATTATCCTCCTCCTCCTCCTCCTCCTCCTCCTCCTCCTCCTCCTCCTCCTCCTCCTCCCCTTATCCACCTCCTCTCTGCGGCGCCAGACCAGGCGTCGCTGGGGGACGGGAACATGCGCCCAGCGGCCGCCGGCGCCGAGACCATGCGCCTCAAGAGCGGGCTGCTGTTGCCATGCTCCTGGCGGGGACGTGGTGGTCGTCGTCGTCGTCGCCGACGACGGCAATCCGCTTCTCTTGGGGAAGATGGGGGGGCAGGAGGAGGGACGGAGGAATCCTCCTCCTCCTCATCCCCCTCCTGCCCCTCCTCCTCCTCCTCTCCTCCTCCCTCCTCTCTTCTCCTCTCTCTCCTCCTCCTCCTCCTCCTCCTCCTCCTCCTCCTCCTCCTCCTCCTCTCATCCCCTCCTGCCCCTCTCCCCCCCCCCCCCCCTTGTGTGCCTCCTCCTTTCTCCTGCTTTCTCTTCACCTCCTCTCCTCATCCTCCTCCTTTCCCCTCCTTCCCCTCCTTTCTCCTCTCCTCCTCCTCTCCTCCTCCCCTCCTCCTCCTCCTCCTCTCTCCTTCCCTCCTCCTCCTCCTCCTCCTCCTCCTCTCCTCCTCCTCCTCTCTCTCCTCCTCCTCGCCCTCCTCACCTCCCCCCCCGTGTGCCCTCCTGCTTTCTCCTGCTTCTCCTCCTTTCTCCTCCTCCTCCTCCTCCTCCTCCTCCTCTTCCTTTCTCCTTCTTTCCCCTCCTTTCTCCTCCTTTCTCCTCCTTTCTCCTCCTCCTCCTCCTCCTCCTGCTCCTCCTCCTCCTCCTCCTCCTCCTCCTCCTCCTCCTCCTCCTCCTCCTGCTCCCTCCTCAGAGGAGGAGATTCAGGCGAAGGAAGAGTGCGCAGCCGCATGGAGCCCCTCGCGCAGCGCGCTCCCGGCCCACCGGAAGTCGGCTCGGGTCCCACGGGGCCCCGAGCCGGCGCCCGCTCGTCGCCGGCCCCGGGGCGCCCACGCCTGAAAAGGGACCACGGCGGGGACGGCGCACGAGCACAGGACAGAGCACGCAAGAAGGCTGGGCAAGCTCAAGCGCTGAAGAGAGAGAGAGAGAGAGAGGAAGGGAGAAAGAGAGAGAGAGAGGGAGAGGGAGAGGAGAGAACGAGGAGAGAACGAGTGAGAGAGAGAGAGAGAAACCATAAAAACATTAATACAGTGAACGAGCTTGAAACTGCAGCCGGTGCACCTCAGTGTCCGAACGCTCCAGCCTGCGCTGGCTATCAAGGCCCTCGTGCCTGTCCTAGTCCGCAGGGTGCCTCCGCCATCTGGACCACAGCACGCCGATCCATCCAGAACGATCAGCGCCCCCAGCCCAACCCAGGATCGAACAGGATTGAAAGCATGAGAGGGGGAGGAGCAGCAATCGAGAGGGGGAGGAGGAGCAATTGAGAGGCACCCAGCAGGAGGGAGGAGCAGGATTAAGAGGGGGAGGAGCAAAGTGGGGAGCGGACGAGCAGAGGGGGGGAAGAGCGAGGAGGAGGAAGGGAAGAGGAGAATAAGGAGGAGGAGGAGGAGGAAAAGGAGGGGAAGGAGGAAGAGCAGCAGAAGCAGCAGGAGGAAGGGATCGGGGCGAGGCGCAGGAGAAAGACAAGGTGTCGATAGAAGAATAAGAAGACGACGAACAAGTATGAATAATACTAGTAAGAAGAGCATACTACCAATAATAAGAACAAAGGAGAAGGAACAAAACGCCATAAACATACACTCTTGGCGCTCCGCGCAGATTTCTTGGATCTGCGTTGGAACCCCCTCCCTGGCGCGCGGAGCGCGCCAGGGGCGGCGCCGGAGGCGTCGCTGGGCTGGCCAAAGACGGATCCAAAAAACCCGTGCGGAGCGCGAAACAAATATGTTTATGGCTTTTTGTTGGTTCTTCGAGTACAAGAAGGGCTCGGGACAGCAAAACAATAGCACATCACGAGAGAAAGCAGCATAAGTGAGCCGAGCAGGAGGCTCGATCCCAGGGGGGATCATCCGCCCTTTGCCCACTTCTGCCTCCACCCAGCGCCTCCTCCTGAGGCGCCGAAGGCTGCCCGCTGGCCCCAGCGGGCTCGTATCTCGGCGGTTCCAAAAATACAATAGAAGCTCGACCACAAGAAACCTTCCACAAGAAACCCAACCCTGAGACCCCAGATCGTCCATAGATTTTTGGCGTGGGAACGTCGCGCTCTCCACAGCAAAACCATCGAAACCCAAGAAACCCAGGGCACCCTGGAGGCAAGCAGGGTGTTTCTTGGCATAGGTTTCCACTGTAGACCCTGAGCGATGGGGCCCTATCTAAGCATGAGGGCCATCAAGAAAGGCAAATTCAGCCTGGGGCCCCTTCCTATCCTCAGGGCCCTCTCTTTGCATCTCCGAGCCCCAAGCCTTCCGTCTGCCCCCCCGGCGACGGAGACGAACCATCTGCACGGCGGCTTCGCCGTCCACTGGCCCAGCCAATGTAGAAACACTGCGCTGCAGTTCTCTGGCGGGCTTTCCCAGGCCCGACTCGACCGACATGCATGGCCACCTCCGAGGCCGCGAGCAGCTCTCAAACCCGGCTCATCCCAAAGCCGACTCCAACGGGATCCTGCAGGATCTGGCGCTCTGGATCCGCCCCGTTTGCCCCGAGTGAAGGTGTACGGTCGGGAGCTTCTGCTCAGCATGTCGCGGCGGCGGCCCCAACGACGCGCAGTGCCCTGCTGGCGGACAGCGTCTCGCTCAGCTCCGCGCGGCGGGGGGCTGGGAGAGGCTCGGGACGTTGCCGCCCGGAGACCAGGACGTGGTGCGCCGAACCCCGTTACGGTATAGGTTCGCGTCGCGTCGACCGGCGGCGCCCCCTCCGCGGGCGTTCAAGGTTGAACGCCGCCAGTGGCCCAGAATCGGCCTACAAGGAACGATCGGGCGATCAGAAAGCCGCCGATCGTTCAAGGCTGAACCATCCACGAGGTGTCAGAAACCAGCGCCAGCGTCGTCACGACACGAACCTGCCATACCTGCCGGCTGACTAGTCTTAGGTCGGGCATGTCCTCCTACTGGCGGATTTTGATAGGAACAATTCAGCCATCGCCACAACATAATCGAACATGGTAACATAGTCGAACATCGTCCCCAGACCATGCTTTCACTATTTTGGAATCTTCCTCCTGTAGAGGAACGCGCCCGACGTTCCTTTGACTACTTTCGACTTTTCTTTTTTGTGACTACGTTTGAATATTGCCTGCTTGCTTGCCTATTCCTGTTGTTTGTTTGCTTATGTTTCGACCATTTTTGAATACTCCTCCTGTGCCCGGTGACCCGGTGCTGGTCCTGCGCCGGCCGGCAGAGCGAGCGCACCGCCAGCCCCAGGCCGCGGAGGAGCCCCTGCTGCCTCCGGGGGGGGGGAGGGGCCGGAAGCGCGCCGGGCCACCAGCGGCTCCTCATGGGGGCGAGGGGGACCTCCTCCTCCTCCTCCTCCTCCTCCTCCTCCTCTTCCTAGAGGAAGGCGGACTGAGGGAACCTCCTCCCCCTCCTCCTCCTCCTCCTCCTCCTCCTCCGAGAGGAAGGCGGACTAAGGGGGAACCTCCTCCTCCTCCTCCTCCTCCGCCTCCTCCTCCTCCTCCTCCTCCTCTTCCTTCGTCTGCGTCGAGCAGACGCCAGTGGGCGAGCTACTGCGGTCCACGTCCTCCTCTCTGCGTTCGGCAAGAATCAGTGGGCGAGCTATTGCAATCTACGTCTTTCTCCACCCCTCCTCCTCCTCCTCCTCCTCCTCCTCCTCCTCCTCGTCCTCCTACTCCTCGCCTCCTCCTCCTCTTCCTCCTCCGCTCCTCCTGCTCCTCCTCCTCCTCCCCCTCCTCCTCCTGCTCCTCTTCCTTCTGCTGCCCCTCCTCTTCTCTCCTCCTCCTCCTCCTCTTCCTCCTCCTCCTCCTCCTCCTCCTCCTCCTCCTCCTCCTCTTTCTCCTCCACATCCTCCTCCTCCTGCTGCTGCTGCTGCTGCTGCTGCTTCTCCTCCTCCTCCTCCTCAGGGCATCCTCGCTTCCACTCCTTCATCCGCCCCCCCTCAGTCCTCACTCCCCCTCCCCCCTCCCCTGATGGCCTGCAGCCTGCATCCCAGTGCTGCACGCCCCCGGCAGCGGCCTCCATACATGCGACCGTTTGGCGGACACCCTGGGCGAGGAGGAACGGACAAGCTCGCCAGAACAATTTTTTGATTCGCGGGTCGAGAGCGCACCTCTTCCGGTCGAAGGTAAGCGGGCCGCGCGAAGCTTGAATTAACGAAGAGAGAAGGCAAATGCAGCTCGCCGGAACAGGGGACTGCTGGGCAGAAACCCGCGATGCATCGCCGATGGATCAGCGATGGGCCCCCGGTGGCGAATCCGCAAGCTCCTGGGCGGGGCGTGCTGTCAGGCCCCCTGTGCGCGATGACTGGGCGATTGGGGGCCAATGCCTCCGCCCCGAGCCGATCCCCCCTGACGCTGTCCCTGGTGGGGACGTGAGCCCTGGCACCTGGCGCATCGAACAGATCAAGGCGGCCTTCCACCTCTTCCTCCTCCTCCTCCTCCTCCTCCTCCTCCTCCTCCTCCTCCTCCTCCTCCTCTCCCTCCTCCCCCTCATCCCCTCCACCTCCTCCTCCTCCTCCTCCTCCTCCTCCTCCTCTGGAGGCTGGCTTCTGCCCCTGGGAACAACAAACGACGATCCGGGAAGAAGAGACTCATGCTTCCAGCGGCTCACGCACCGAGCGCGAGATCGCTGCGCCAGGTTTTTTCCGGATATGGAGGAGAGGTGGTGGGTGCCTCTCCCCTCCTCGTCCCCCCGAGTGCAGTCCCTCCGCTCTCCCAGCCGACCCTGCGTCTAGCTGGTGGACCACTCTTCGTCGCCCCCACCCCCCTCCCCCCCTCCCGCTGGCCTTACGGACGGCTGGCGGCGAGAGAACGCGAGGAGGTGGAGGAGGAGGAGGAGGAAGAGGAGGAGGGGGAGGAGGAGGAGGGGCAGGAGCTGGAAGAGGGGAGGAGGAGGGGGGGGAGGAGGAGGATGAGGAGGAGGAGGAGGAGGAGGAGGAGGAGGAGGAGAAGGAGCAAGACCAGTGTAACCCTAAGACTCACCAACGATGCTGCAAAAATTCCCTCTCAAGCTAAATCCTACAACAATCCATTTTCACCGCGGGAAGGGTCCCGTTGGAAGACAACAGTCTGAAAATCTGCAACCGCGCCAGAGAACCACTGAACATCGTCTGAAAGTCTGCAACCATCAGAACATCTGCAACCGTCTGAAATCTACAACCACTCCTGGGACTTCAAAGCCGCGAATCGGCGCTACCGTTCAGACATGACCATCCCAAGTCGCACCAGAATGTGAATTCTGGGACGTCGGCACCGCGAATCAGAGTGACCCTCGCGCCATGGCAGTCCTGAACCGTGCCTGCCGAAGCACCACTTCCGGGACGTGCGCTAGAACAGTGATCGAAGCTGCTGTAGAATTTCATTGGAATTCTACAGCAGCTTCGATCACTATTGAGATCAAAAGTCCTTGAAATTCTTTTGAACCAAAAGGATGTGCGCGGCGCTAAAGCGAAAAATGACGGCATCATGACTTCTGGGACGTGCGCATAATGACGTGCGCGAACGTGCGCATAATGACGGCATAATGACTTCCAGGACGTGCGCTAGCACTGCTGTAGAAATTCGAACTGGATGCAAGCTGCTGATAGTGATCGACACTGCTGCAGAATGTCAAGCGGAGGTGCGCGGCGCCGAAGCGAAACAAAGACAGGTGGAAAAAGAGCCGCCCTCCGTCCGTGAAGCTCTCCTGCCAGCTCGGACCAACAAAAAACAACGAGTCTGCGCGCCGCTGCGGCGAGGAGCCTCGCCTTGAAACACGCCCGCCCTCCGTCCGTAGAAGGCTCTCGCAAGCGTTTCAAGCGCACGTGCGCAGAATTACGGCAAGCATAGCATGTTGAAACGCGCAGAAGCTCCCGCAAACGTTGAACAACGAGCGTGCGCAGAATGACGGCAAACATGACATGTTGAAGCGCGTCCGCTCTCCATCCGTGAACGTGTTGCAAGCTTGGAATAAAAAGCAAGCGAATGTGCGCGGCGAGAAAGCGAGAACCACAGTTTGAACATCACCCGCCTGTCATCCGTGAAATTCTTGAACATTTGTTAGACACATGTGTGCGGCGCTGAAGCGAGGCCCACAGTTCAAAAACAAAACGTCGTCCACTCGTGAAACCGCTGCCTCTTTCAAACTTCAGGACCATACGTGGTGAGGACGTCTCATGCGAAACGCCCGGCCCGCCCTACCAACCCGTCTCGGGGTTCGGCAGGGATGAGTTACTTCTCATGAGAAGGGATGGAGGATATGGGATATGAGGAAAGGGGAGGGACGCGAAGAGAGGAGAAGAGGAGGAGGAGGAGGAGGAGGAGGAGGAGGAGGAGGAGGAGGAGGAGGAGAAGAAGGTTATCGCACACACACACACACACACGCACACCCGCGTACACACACACACACACACCCAAGAGGGGGAGGTCCACAGGGCCCTCAAGGGAACTCCAGGGCAACGAAAACTATAAGCACGAGTAAGTGTCAATAAGGGCTCCTTGGAGATCCATCCACGTCTGAAAGTCCACGAGCCTCGCGGAGGAAAACGACGAGGAGGTAGAGAGAGAGAGAGAGAGAGGTGACGGGTGAGGTCTGGGAAAGGGAGAGATGAGAGAGGAGGCGGAAGGTGTTCCACCTCGCCCTCCGCACTCACTTCGGTCTCCTCCGCCTCCTCCCCCTTCTCCTCGTCCTCCTCCTCCTGCTCCTCCTGCAGAGGGACGACGACGAGGCCGACAGCAGCGGGGACGACGACGGACCGGCGACCGGTCTTGGCGGCGCTCGCCGGCCAGAACCTCGAGGCGGAAACACAAAAAACAAAAAAAAAAACACCGTGGCCGCGGGGAGCGCCCCCCCTCCCGAGGCGCCAAAACCCAGACCCCCGACGTCATGATGTTTTCATGACGCGACCCCCCAAAGGTCCCAACCCATTCCCCGGGACCGGTGTTTCATCCTCAGTCGTTTTTGGACGGTCCCGAGGCCCGGTGAGGGCCCCCTGAGGCCGGAGACGGCGAAACACCTCCCGTCGTGATTTTTTCATGACCCGAAGGGGGTCGGGGAAGGCGGCCCCCGAGACGCTGGCAGAGGCCTCGCTCGCCCAAGCCCGGCCGACGGCGGCGACGAGGCACCGCCCCGCCTGACGGCCCGCCCCGCCTGCGCGGGGACTTCGGGCTCCGGCCGGGCGTCCTGCCCGGCCAGCGGCCGTCGTCGCCGTCGCCGCCGACGCCGCCAGCGTCGCTGCCGCGATCATCATGGCCGTCGTCGCCGCCGCCGCCGCCGCGGCCGCCGCTGCCGCCGTCGCCGTCGTCGCCGCCGCCGCCATCGCAGTGCCCATCGCCATCGCCGGCGTCGTCATCGTCATCGTCGTCATCGTCGTCGTCGTCGTCGTCGTCGTGCTCGGTCAGCGCCGACGTCGTCGCCTGGCATGGTGGGCACTGCCCGCGGGGGAGGAGCAGAGGGGGGAGGAGAGAGACCGTCGAGCGACGATCTACGGCGGCGAGCTTGTCCTGGACATGATGTCGGGGGCTCTTGCTCCCGGGGGTGGAAAGGGTTCACAGCATCAAGACGTCGGGAGTCTTGGTCTCTGGCACTGCAAAGAAATGGGGTGACTCAGGTCGCAATGTTTACTGCCCCGTGCCGTTCCCCAAGAGTTGTGCCTCGCCAGGGGAGCGACCACGAAGGAGTCTGAGGAACGCACCCGTCGCCATGCCTGGCCACCGCGCGAGTCATGCGGCTATCCTTAGGTCGGGCGTGTCCCCCTACAGGCGGATGTTAGACGAAAAATGAAAAAATCAGAACAGATCCAGAACATATTCAACAAATAATCAAAACATCGTCCCCAGACTATTTTTGATCATTTTCGAAAACACTCCTCCTGTGGAGGGACAGGCCCGACTTAAGGCTGCATATCCCCGAAGGGCCTGGAGTGGTCGGTGGCAAATCGACGACCCTTCACGAGCGAGCTCTCGGGGATGCCACACGTGCTGGGGCTGGCCCTGGCCCTGGACCAGCCAAGGCCCCAATCACCACCGCCATCCCTTTCTAGAGCAGCTCGAGGCGACGGGCCGGGCAGCCAGACCTCAGGATTGGGGCGAGGGGGGCCAAGGCAGAGGGAGAGATCAGCATTCCGAACACATGCGCTTCCAGCAGGGCGCCGCCTCTGTGTATGCGGGAGGTCGGGGCAGAAGCCATGCACTAAAAGGCGCGTCGGCAGCCGCACGCACGAGAGGGCGAGAGAGAACGGACGGGGGCGGGGGGGAGGGGACACGGGGCAGCCCTGGCTGGGGTACAAAATCATGGCCCCGACTGTGAGCAATGGCCCTCGACGCAGGCAGGGAGAATCGGCGACGAGCGAGGGGGGGAAATGAGAAGGAGAGGGCCTTCTGAGAAGGCGGCGGGGCTGCTCAGAAGGCCCTCGGACCTTCTGAGAGGCTTTCTGTGCCTTCGGGGAAGGGAGGCCTGGGGACTTCCGAGCCTTCTGAGAAGACCCGCCCCTTCTTACTTAACCCCTTCGCTCGCCGCTGAGAGAAGCGACGCACAGCTGCGACACCAAGAGTGCCCGTGCAAGCTATGGTGACTACCATTATGGCAATGTTGATGAGTGTGGAACCAACGGGAGAGGTAAGGAGTTTCCTCACCCATGCGCCGACCACAGGCCAGAGGATTCATACATCGGAAGTGGGCTGCGAGCTACGCGGTCGCAGCTAGCCGCAGACCAGAGGAATCAAGCGGAGGAGGAGGAGGAGAGGAGGAGGAGGAGGAGGAGGAGGAGGAGGAGGAGGGGGAGGGGGAGGAGGAGGAGGAGGAGGAGGAGAAGGAGGAATAAAGGAGGAAAAGGAAGAGAAGGATGAGGACGGGAGGAGAAAACGGGAAGAGGAGAGAACGTATCGGTTCAAAGCCAGCTGGCCCGAAGCCCGAGTGGGCGACGAGCGGCGGTACGCGGAGGCTGAACCTGAATAGTGCAGCCGAGGAGCCGACCGGGCCCACGAGGTTACTAACTACGACCATGGAGCGAACGAGAGGGGCAAGAAGAGGAAGGAGGTAAGGAGCCGAACTCTATACACCGACGCCTTTTCCGGCCCCGCGCCGAAGTTCGCACAAGAAAGCGTATCCTGGTGTATACGGGATTTGGGTGTACGCATGTTTCGCTGTTTCCTTGGGGAAGCGTTGAAGCAATATACACCACACCACCCCGACGTCATCCCCGACCCTCAAGAAGTCCTAGGATTGAAAAACAGCCCGCCACTGGTAATGTATATGCTCCAGTTTCCGACGAGGGGAGCAAGGGATAAAGGAGGAACGCTAGGAGCCCGCACATGGGCCTTTAAGTACAGAGCGGAGTCGGTTTTAAGACGGGTTATGTGTCAAGGCACCTCAAACTTCCTCCAGTCCTCCATCTCTTGCTTCTCGTCCCACACCTCCAACTTCCTCCATCCCTCCATCCCTGCATCCTCCCGCTTTCATCCATCCTTCCTGCATCGATCCCCACCTCCTTCGTTCTCCTTCTCCACGTCCTCATGTTCCGCGTCCTCATCCTTCCAACTCCCCCATCTCAGAATCTTCCCATAACCCTCTTGTTATCCTCCTCATCCTCCTTCTCCCCATTGATACAATCCATCCTCCCATGACCGTGTTCCTCTTTGCCCTCCGGGCTCTACTGTGCATGCTTGCCTCCTCCACCGTGTACAAGAGCCAAGGTGATCGACGCGCAACACAGCTAAGCAGGTAGCCATATCTGGCCAATGCGCACTGTCGAAATTCTGCCAGACGCATTAACAGTACGTGCATGCAGAAACACGGCTTGATGAGAGTGGGGGGGGGGGGGTGATGAGGGGGGTGCTTTCTCACAGCCGAAGTGTTGGGACTGGTCCCGGCGGAGAACATCGCCCTGGAATTTGGTCGGGCATGTCCTACTCAAAAATGATCAACAAATACCCGAAAAGTCCTCCCCTGACTACTTTGTCACTTTTCTTGAACCTTCCTCCTGTAGAGGGACAGGCCCAGCTCAGGCCTAGAATCGACGATGCACCGCCGATGGATTGGAGGCATCAAGGGCTCCCCACTTCGCGCTTCGCGCTGCGCGAAGTGCGAAGTGCGACTACCTCCGCGCTCTCGCGCCGCCTCCCAGGGAAGAAGAGGAGGATGAGGAGGCATCGGAGCCGAAGCGCGAAGCGCGGAGCGCGAACAACTTCCTTCGCGCCCTCGAGGGCGCCCTTGATAGGGGGCCACATGCGAACCCTACCCCTGCCTCCCACGATTTCTGAGGAGGAGGGTGGGGTTCACTTCGTTCGGGGGAGCTCCCGAACGAAGTGAACCCCACCCTCCTCCTCAGAAATCGTGGGGGGTAGGGGTAATGGAGGATGACGATTTATAAATGACCCGGGGTCGTGTTCACGCGGCGGCGCCAGGGATGACGATTAGAAAAAACTGGCCGCGGGCTGGAAAACTATTCTTTTAATCGTTCTCCTCCAGTCAGAAACTTGTGCAGAAATAGCAGGAAACTATTGTTTTAATATTTCTCTCCCATTTTTTATTAATCGTCATCCCGCATTCGGGTCCGCACGTGGCCCCCTGCTTGAGGCAATGCCCCCCGAGGGCGGCGACGCTGCACACCACCCGGGGCAGGCGTGGGGCGCGGGCCGAGCAATCGCTGGGCCAAGCGCTGCGCCCGTGCAGCCCCCTCCCGCCCCTCCCCCGAGACCTTTCGGCACGAGATCCACGGGCCCTTTGTGTATTTTCATGTTGCTGTTTTGTTTTGTTTTGTGTGTTTGTGTGTGTGTGTGTTTGTTTGTTGTGTTTGTTTGTGGTTTGTGTGCTTGTTTTTGTTGAAATGGTTGTTTGTGTTTTGTGTGTGTGTGTGTTTGTTGTTGTTGTTGTTGTTGTTTTTTTTGTTTGTGTTCTTTTTTTGTTGTTTGCTCCCCTTCCTAAAACGAATGCTGAACGATTTGCACCGAGGCGTAAGACGGAACACCTCCGGACAAGCCGAGAACGCCACACGCGATGCCCTGCACAGCGAAGCGGGTCCTGGGCCCTGGGGCCTCACGGCCTTGCCAGGAGGAGCCCAGGATCGCATCCACAAGTCGGGATCGGCGATCGGGAGGCATCGGGTCGGCGGAGAGCGGCAGTCGAGTCGGGAGGAGTCGAGCCGGCGGAGATCGGCAGGCCGATGCTATTTTTTATTAGGCAGCATAGAGGACCGCTTCGTGAAATATTCACCTGCTCGCGAGAAGTACGTATACTGCACTCGAGAGCTGACAGGTCACTAGTGCCTCGCTGTCACGCCGCAGAGCGTGATCCCACAGTGGGTGATCGGCAGGCCGATGTGCCTCCGATCAGACATCGGAGCCCAAATATCGGAATACCAAGCCGAGTCGAATCGGAATCGGAAGCCATCGAGATCGGGCCCTGAGGGAAACGGGTCCTGGGACTCGGGGCCTCACGGCCCTGCGTCTTGGGGAGGGCGCTCCGGGCGGCCGAACACTGCCCCCAAAACGCTCCGGGAGCCGCTGCCCCTCCTCCTCCTCCTCCTCCTCCTCCTCCTCCTCCTCATCATCATCATCATCATCATCATCATCATCATCATCATCATCATCATCATCATCATCATCATCATCATCATCATCATCATCATTTGCCGTCTCCTCCTCCTCCGCCTCCTCCTCCGCCTCCTCCCCCTCCTCGACCCCCTCCGATGTTTCGCCCCGCTCTCGCGGCGAAGCCGTTGCGAGCATCCGCCGCCTGCGATCGTGCGCCAACAAGGAGAGCGTCCCGATGGACAGCCATGGCGACAGCGGTCGGGTCGGGGGGTCGCAGATCAGAGATCAGCTCACGCAGCTGCTCTTCCCGGCGTCTCCCGGCGCCAGAAGCGCCGAGGTGTGGAAGAAAGCGACCAGCGACGGAGCCGAGACGAACCGCAGGCGGCAGGTGTTGCACCCCATCCTCTCTATCCTACCCTTTCGGGGGACGTGCAGGTGGAGGGTTTCTTTTTGAGGGCGACGATAGGCACGGGCAGCATGCCTCGACCGTAGAGCGGGAAAACGTGCAGTTACAAGCGTTGTGCGGCCCAGTCGCCTCGAACGGCGGCTCCACCGAACCGTCCAAAGGGCCGCAAATGCACTACCGCGCCCATGAAGAGATGTGGAGGTATAGTGGAAGGAGGAGGAGGAGGAGGAGAAGGAGGCGGAGGG